CTGCACAGCAGCCTTCTGTTCTCTCCAGAGAGTGGACTGTTGGCATTTTGCATGGCTTTGTGGTACATCAGGAGCTCCACCTTGGGAACAATGAGTTTCTCTCCTGTGGCCACACACTTTCCTAAGGAGTCTCAAAACAGTAATTAACCAGGAGATATCTATTTGCAATCTGCCTAAATTTACTATATAGTAGTCCCTCCCTTCATTGAAATTTGTTGATGCTCTAGATCCACAGACCACTGTGGACCCTTTCTTCTGCAGTACTACATATTCAATTGTTCTTTTTTTCTCTGAAACATTATAAAGATGTTTTGCCACATCATACAATTCTATCAGCCATCTCCAAGTGACAACAGTGCTGGGCAGGCTGCCCTGTCTCAACCCATCTATCTTACCCACCCTACCCTGCTTTCTTATTCCTCCGGTGCTTCTTCGTTGATCCCTTTGATGCAGATAGACCCCCCACTCTTCTCTTGCTCTGTGTTTTTTGCTGTTAGGCACTCAGTCATCAAATTAAAAAAAAGTCTTTGGCTGGATGTCAAAGTGATCAGTGCTATACCAAACAAAGTCTAAGGCTTTAACATTTCATCCTCTCTTTCTCCAGACTCCTCCTTCCAGCTCCATTCCTCCCCTCCAGTCAACAGCCACATACACACACCTCTAGTACCAACTTTCGAATAAACCATCACTAGTGTATTATCAGCCATCCTGGCATACATACAGAAAGTAAGACACAAGGAATTAAAATGCTCTCTCCCATTGCCTTCAAAACCAGCAGCAGAGAAAGGCACATGAGGCAGGGCTTGCTCTAACCACCAGCCTAGCAGTGACAAACTGCTGGCTCTACAGCTAAGCCCGGCAACAACCCCAGATAAAAATAACCCACCCCACTTGCTTTTTAATTCTCTGAATATATTTGGCACTGGAAGCTCAAAAGCTTTGTCCTGTCTACACCAGATAAGTTTTTCCCAGTTTCTCTTCCGCACACTCCCCAGATGAAGGTATCTTCCTTTTTTACCCCCGAATGATTTCTGCTCTTCTCCTTGGCCAGAGCTCTCAGCCAGGGCTGTGCTACCCTACTTCCATAGGGTTTTATACTAAGTGTGCCCAGATCCTGCACTGACCTTCAGGCCAACATCCTTTCTATCATCATCCCTGGAGACTCTATATGTATCTACTCCGGAAAGCTGCTTGTTTTCTTGAAGGTATTTATAGCATTAATAGCACTCTTCTTTCTTCAGGTTTCTGTTTGCTTTTGTCTCTATATAGAAATTAAAACCCTGGATACAACCCAAGGAAAAACCACATCCTGTTCACCAAAGCATACTGGACTGAAGGTGGATACTGCTGACGCTGGCTGGGGTTCATCAGACACTGCCTTACTTCTTGCAGATACAGAGATCTCCACTTTTTTGGTGGTGCCTTCAGGAAAACTGAGATATGATACCCACTTAAGACCTCAGTTTCCCTCCAGCCCCCAACATCTTTGGCTTTGCATCAGCCAAATTCAGAAACCAGGAATGCAAAGTGAGACCATGGCAAACTTTGCAGACTCCATCACAAGGATGCCCAAGGCATTTTGAGCTTCCTCCCCAGGGGAAAGCTCAGCTACATTCTTTCAGCCTCTTTTCAGAATGCAGTTGAAATTTCTCTGCCACCAGCTACAGCAGGGTATAGTTGAGTTCCCAAAGCATTTTGAAAACCTCAAAGCAGTGGCAAATATTCCAACATCTGCTTTTATCCTTCAGTAACACCTGCAAAGTCTAAGCCAGGGCAGATTTAACCCGAAACAGGGTTGAATCTCAACTAATCTGAATTTGACCACTTTTAGAGTCTTTTGGCTCCCTATGGGATGGGAACACCCCTGGGTGTCTCTCTCCAGGTCAGCTTGTCTGGAGAAAACCTGAACCCATATTGGCCAGTTTCTTATAACAAGATGCTGCCTTGTAAACAGGTTTGCAAAGCCCTGCAGGCACCAGAGGAATGCACGCACACCCACTTCTCAGTGTTGCTCCTCTACTTCTCCCTTCAACAGAGCAGCCTGAGTCCTAAAAAGCCAAATCCTCAAGCATCCCTCCTCCACCATTCCCTTCTGCATCCTGATCACAGAGCATCCCTCTCTCTGAGCATCTGTATGGGAATCCTGAAACCTGGGCCTCTCTCCTGAATCCCTCCCTATAAGCATCCCTCTCTTGAGCATCCTTCCTGCACCTCAACCTTCTGAGCTGCTCTTATTCCAACCATCTCTCCGGCATACCTCCCTCCAAGCTCTCTTCTACATCCCAAACCCCAAGCATCACTCCGAGTATCCCTCCCAAGCATCTCTACTGCTCCCCTTCCTCTGAGTATCCCTCCCTCAGAGCATTCCAGTTCCAAAGAACTCCATTCTGACCCCCAAGCACCCTTTAATCACAGCATCTTCCTGTATCCCTTAAACAAGCTCCTGCATCCTGACTGCCCAAGCATTCCTGTCTCTAAGCATCCATCCTCAACTCTTTCCTCCAAGCATCCCTCCAGCATCCCAACACCCAAGCATCCCAACTCCTGAGCATCCCGACCCCCAAGCATCCCAACCCCCAAGCATGCCTCCTGCACCTCTTTTCCCCAAGTACCCTTACTGCACCCCTTCCCCTGAGCAGCCCATCTGCATCTCTCACTTCAAACATCCCTCCTGCACCCCTCATTCCAAGCACTCCTTCTGCATTCCTTCCCCTGAGCACCCTTCCTATACCCTTCACCCTGAGTATCACTACTGAATCCCTCACCCTGAGCATCCCTCACCCTTCACATACCTCTCATCCTGAGCATCCCTCCAGCACCCCTTTTCCTGACTACCCCTCCTACACCCCTTCCCCTGAGCACCCTTTCTACACCATTCACCCCGAGTATCCCTCCTGCATCCCTCATCCCAAGCATCCCTCCTGCACCTCTTTCCCCGACTATCCCTCCAGCAACCCTTCCCCTGAGCATCCCTCCTGCATCCTGAGCCCAGATCACCCCTCCTGCACCACTTGCCCAGAGCCCTTTCCCCCCGTCCCCCTCCTTCCGACCACCCCAACTCCCGACCGCCCCCCTTCTGCACCCCTTTCCTTTCCCCCCCCCTCCCCGCGTTACCTCCGGCCGGGACCGGGATGCGGCGTGGCCGGCTGCGAGCCGCAGTCCCGGAGCAGCGCTGGGCAGGGCCGGAGAGGCGGCGAACTACATCTCCCAGCGGGCCGGGCCGGGCCGTGCCGAGCCGTGCCGGGAGCGCCGCGCCCCCACTTCCTCCGCCTCCCTGCGCCTCCCTGCGAGCGGCGGAGCTCGGCGGCTGGAGGGGGCGCAGGTGGGTCCCCGGCCGGGCTGGGGGGCGTGGGGAGGGCCAGGGGCACCCCCAGCGGAACTCCCCCAGGTGGAGAGACTGAGTCACGGGGAACAAGCGGGTACCGGCGGCCGGGAGCCGCGCTGCTGGTCCGCTGTGGGATGCGGGAAGGATGGGTGAGCCTCCTCTGAGCAGAGGGAGGTACGGGGTATTTTTTTAGTACTGTAAGCTAATTTAATAGTGTGAGCGCCTGGCTGTGTTAGGTGAGCCGTACCTAAGGTTGCCCTTAACAGGGTCGGGCTCAGCGCCACTCTGCAAACTTTGCATTCCCCACCCCCTTCCAATGAAAGATCTCCGAAATTTAAGGATTCACAGCACATCCTGTATGCCCACACCCGGGACATGCTGCCAGCTGGGTCTGGCTGGTCAATGGCCGTGAGCTGTACCCTGCAGAGGGTCTAATTCTGGATGGTACCTACCTTGTTACTGTGATTTCTGAGTGGGATTTGCTATCGTGCAGCTGCATCCGTGCTGGGAATTAGCTGCCCTTTCACTGCAGGGGTGCTCTGGAAGTGATGGTGTCAGTGGGAGATGGGGTGGAAACTGGATTGCTGAACCACTCTGTGTGTGAATCAAGCAGTATGCAGGTGGTGGGCTACCAGGTGTGCAGATGAAGTGGTCCAGGAAGGGAATAAAGTGGTCCATGAAGGAAATAAAGAGTATCTGGATGATACTCCAGGGGTGCCAGGTGATACTTATGTGGATGCCTGGACAGGACATTAAAAAACATTGCAAACCTTTGCCAGAACTGGCATTAAATTGGTATATTGGACTGTACAAAGGGTATCATCTCGGAAGGAAAAGTGATGCTCCCCGCTGCCATGAGACCCCAGACAGGCTCCCTCCTGGCTGCCGGTGGCATTGCCCTCCTGACAGTCTGCACTGCCCACCCAGCAGCCCCTGAGCCTACCGGTGTCGAAGGTCACACCAGGAGACTGCCGAGCACTGCAGCACTTTGACTTTTATTCTCCAAACCTCGCTGCAGCCGCATCTCTCTGGCTCTGCACTCCCTCTCCCCCTCCATCTTGTTGTCAGCCGGTTTTCCTTCAGCAGCACTTAACCTTCATTTCGTTCTCTTCCTCCCCGCTGTTCACTGCTGATCTTGTTCCTCTTCTCTCAGGAGGAACCTGACCTTTGTTTTATATCGCTCCTTGCTCTTACTAACTGGTCACCAGCTCTATTTTCCTACCCCTGCCTCCCTACCCTCTCCTCTTTTTGCTTAAATTCAGCAGCTGCAGAGACCCTACAGACAGCCTTCTGCATTCGGCTGCATCCCTAAGCAGGCAGCCCAGGAGATGCTCAAGGGCATCGAGGTGCAGGTCTGGGAAGGGGTGAACACACGGCATCATCACACCCACAGCAAACCAGAGTTGTTGTGGAACTCCCGGTCACGCTTTCCCATTATTCATGCGTCTCATTGCCAGAGCAGAGTTTCTGTGTCTAAAGAAGCACGGGCAGAAAATTAAATGTAAATAAATATAAATAACTGGCTGCGCTCCGAAGGTGGATTGTCAGCGTGTCTATGGCCAGGTATTGCAGCCGCCGGCAGATAGATACCAATCCTATCGTACAGGGAGAAAGGAAGGGTGACCCGTCGTTTCCTGCCTCACGCCTGCTGGGAATTTGAGTCCCCTCCCAGAGCTGGTCACAAAGTCCCCCGTGCCAGCTTCGGGGTGAGCGGCCTTTCCCCAAACGCCTGCTGGAAATTTCCAGAGACATCACAGCAGTCCCGAAACAAAAAGCTGCTGTGCCTCCCCGCAGGCGCTGCATTTTGGGATCTATTGCTCCTGGCAGACACGCCATGCTCTGCTTCACCGACCGAATTTTAAGCTTCTAAATGCTGCATTATTGGAGGGGTTGATATTAAGTAAGTGTCCAAAATCAGGTGGGTCCGTCCTGCAGCGATGGGAAAACGTGGGGTTTCCTCTGTAAGATTACTGTAAATAAGCATATAGGCTACAGAAACTATTGAAAATGTTTAACCTTCTGTAGCTGAGGATGAGCTAAGTATATGTGCATCAGGCATACGTGAAGGGAGGGTGAGTCTATGCTTGCAATGGATTTTGTCCAAAATTCTCCCTGAAGTTCAGCTCTCATTGACACCTACTGTCTGCTGAAAGCTAGTAAGTGGTCAATTGAAGTGGTTTTTTTTTTATCCTCTAAATATTTTTGTTTGTTTGTTTCTTCCCCCCCCTTTTAGTTCTTTGATTATTATTTTTATCTTGTCTTTCATGGAGTTTCTTCTAGACTTCAAACTGCCTGGTCTGCAGCCCCATAACACAGTTGGGCATGAGCTCATAGCTGAGGATCTGGATTTCCTTCGCAAAATCGTCCCCTTGAGAAGGGACAAGGCACAAAACTGCTCTGCAGGTAGAGTCACAGCAAGTGCCATGGGGCTGGCTGTGCCCAGATGTGGAGTTCTCAACTTCATTACTATTTGTTTTTTTTTTTTGCTCAAGACTTGAATGTTTTGTAGAAACTGGAATTCTTACCTCAAACCAAAACATGTTTCAGTAAAACACAGTGGAGCAAAGGGATACGTGCTGAGTGTAGGGAAAATGGGGCATGACCTAGAGCAGAACAAGCATTGTGCAAGAGGAACCATCCTTGCCTGATTATGTGTTCACCATTAATATGCTCTAATGGAGCAGACTGGAGCCCCATCCTGCAACAACCATCTTTTGCTGAATCCCATTTAGAGTTTCCAGCAGCCATTACAGGTGCCCAGCTGTTTCTTTTCTCATACCTCCTTTTGAGCTGAAATCAATCTTGCTCCTTCTAAGGCAGAATTACTTCCTATAAAGCATTACCTAATCTGTCTCTTGTAACATTTATCTACTTGATGTGGCTTTCACCAGCTCTCTTGGGCAATACTCAAAAAGCCAGAGAGGTTTTTAGTCTGGCTGCTCTTCCTGATGCTTAGCAGAAATGGTCCCTGGTTTGCTTTAATTTTATTGCCACTTAGGCATTCTTCATTGTGCCAGCCTAAATAATTAATATCTTTTTTTTTTCTTCCTTTTTGCTGTGTATGTTTTTTGTGGTTCATTTTTACTCCTCAACTATTTATACGGAAGCTGCACATATTTCACTGTCTTAAATACAGGTTTTCAAAGTTTTGGTTGTGGAGGGATATTTTACAGGTGAGCTATTGAAGCCTACACTATAAAATTAACCAGCAGTGCAATATATAATATACATAAACTTCTGAGGCACTGGTACACTGGACAGAGAACCTGTTGCTGCCCTATCCCTGGGAGTGTTCAAAGCCAGGTTGGATGGGGCTCTGAGCAACCTGGTCTAGTGGAAAGTGTTCACGACCTTGGCAGGGGTGTTGGAATGAGATGATCTTTAAGGTCCCTTCCAAACCAGGCCATTCTATAATTCTGCGATTCTATGAAATTAAAACCATTAGAAATAATGACTGTGTAAACAGTCATGTATCACTACATCTGGCAGCAAAAGACCCTGTTGGTGTCACAGCAGATGTTAACTTGTATTTCAGGGGATGCTACAACTTCTAATGCCTTTAATGTCATGTCTAAGGGCTTTAGAGGCCATAAGAAGCCTGTGGGATGGACTTTGGAAACCTTAACAACTCATCATGATCACCTCCTACCAAATTACAGATTGTTCTTGCTTTGTTGCTCTGTGTTTATTTAATCTCATTAATTAAATCCTCTGAATGACAGTAGGATGCCTGTTAACTGCATCTTGGGCATTGCCTCTGAAATCTGAAAGGATTGATTAATTCTTCTTCCCCACGTTTGTAAAGTGAAATCTGTGTTTGCAGTCAATTTCTTTTCCCAATAAAAATCCTGCTATAAATTGTCTTCAGATAGATAGATAGATAGATATAGATATAGATACATATATCTTTTGGCAACTATATAAACATATCTGTAACTTTAGACTTTACAGTAAACTGAATTTTTTGGTTAAAAAGGATAGACTACAGCTGTATACATTTTTCAGAGTGGTTAAATACGTAATATTTGTGCCATTTGTTTACATTTTACTTATGTTTTTTGGATGATTACTTGTACACTTGTGGGGTTTTGCCAAGTTGGGTGAAACAGGCACTCAGTTAAATTATGTATACAGAATTTTATTTATTAGCTAATTAAAGCACTCTTAAATGTGATGAATACAGGAGAAGAAAAATAAGCTTATCCAAAGCTGTTCTACATTCAAAATGGTTAGGCAAATGAAGGGGTGTGATAATGATGGTTCTAAATACATGAAGGCATCAGTAAGTGAAATCACGTAGATTTTGTCATTTGACATACTTTCATACTTTCCCTCTGTGTCAACCCCCATTACTCTCCCAGGTTCAAACCAGTTATTTGCTGAACTAAACTCATGGGGTAGACGGTTGTTACAAAAATGTTCTCTATGCAGGTGTTGAGGATGCTCCTGTAAGTAAAATCCAAGTTAAAATTTACAAGCCCTGGTCTGTTGAAATGCTCAGATGCTCACAGACAGCTTCTATTCAGCAGTTTGACTTTTTCATAAAGTTAACCACTGCTAGTTAAGCACAAAATAAATCTTATGTTCTTTGGCCAAATTCACATCTTCAGCTCTCAAATTAGATCTCTAGCTGATCTAATTTGAATGAATTTTAAGTGCTACTTGAGGAGGGGCTACACAAAAGACTTTGCTATAAATCTCTGCTTCCAAGAACCATAACCCAATTTGTACTTGTCCTTAGTGACTGCAGGTTATAGAATCATACTGTTACAGAATGGTTTGGGTTGGATGGGACCTTAAAGATCATCTGGTGCTAACCTGCCTGCAGTGCCCAGAAGGCAGGGACACCTTCCATTAGACCGGGTAGCCTCCCACATCCAAGATCAGATGCTCTTGGTACCTCGTACTCTTTGTGGAAATGCCACCAAGCAGATGTGATTTCCATGCTGCATTCTTGGACAATCTTTATATTGTATTAGCAAAGTACCTAGGCTTGATAAACCAGGGTAGGGACTGCAAATGCTGGTTGGATGAGCAAAGAGAGAAAACTGACAACCCATTTCATTTTAATTTTTAGAAGTTTATGAAAAACATTTTTTCATAAAAAAGTTTGTATGAAGAAAAGCAGCAAGGACTGACTTTATTTCCCCAGCTACTGTCAACTATGTTGGTTGCTCAATGCACTAAGTCCAGGTTGATGATAAATCCAGTGGACACTGGGGTGCTCATCTGTGCTGAAGTTTCGGGTCTTTCTAAGGTTCCCAGACACAGATTCATCTTCATACTGTAAAGATATAAACCTCTAAGTAATGGGATGAATTAGGCAAAAGCAGATGATTAGGAATGACAGCTAGGGAATAGTTATCCTGCAGCCTTATCCATGGGCCAGATGTTTGCGTCATAAATGTTTGAAATTTAATCTAGTGCAGGGGCAGTGAGGAGGTTCAAAATAAAAGCAGGCTGGTGTCCTAGGAGACTGAAATCCAGCCTGTCTGCTGACTGTAAAACAGCCATAAGCAGAATAGGCTGGCCAGGGCATGTGTCTGAGCAGTGCCCAGAAGTGGGAGAGAAGCAGAGCCGCCATGCTGAGGGAGTAACGCCATGTCTGCCAAGTTCTGTGCTACTACACCCAGAACTTTTCCAACACCGGAGCTTAAAGCTTGGGCAGATTTCTGATGCTATTGCTGGCAGCATAGATATGGTCTTCAGCTTTGAAGAGCTCATGTTACTGCCACATTTTGTTGGCAGCCTCCCTTTTGGACTGCTGATAAAGAAAACAGTTACAAGAGATTTTAATATTATCTGTTCAGATTCGACTGAGCTGTCTGCTTCTCATTCAGGCTATTAGCCAGTGAGGCTTTGGATCACAGTAAACCTAGGGTGGATGATGAGTTTGAAATGAAAATCTGTATCTTTGGACCATACGGTGGTCTTTAGGTTGTGACTCTTGACCATGGGATTTGCCAAGTGAAGCCTTGTCAGAGACACATCAAAGAAAACATATCACTCCGCATCTGGCTAAGGCTGTCCAAGAGCATGAGAAACCAGCTCTCATGGTGTAGATAAACAGGTTTGGGCCCAAAAATCTGAAAGCTTCACCTATGAAGAAAGAACAGAAAAACTGAGGTTGTTTAATCTAAAGCAGCCTGAGGAGCAGCAAAGATTAGAAGCAATGAATGTGGTCTATGGAGTCACTGTCAGTCCTGCTTCTACAGGCTGTGTGATTTGCAGGGAAGAGTAGGGAAGCTTCTGTTTGATGAAACGGGATAAAAAGTAAAACCCATTTCATTTTTTGGAAATGCCTGATTGTGCTTGTAGCAATGCTTTTACAGACATATTGCAAGCCCTTGGGGGAAAAAATACATGGCAGCCACTTGTGCTACAGAATTAGATCAGTTAAAGCCTCCACGTGATCAGGTTTAAACAGCTCTTGACTCTAAATTGGCTAGAAGCCTTCAAGAGTGGGAAGAATGCTGAGACTACAGTGCTAAGGGGGGCTTAGCACTGGAACAAGTAGTTTTTTCTGGAGTATATTTGGCTGAGGTTAGTCACAAGGAGGGTCTTTGGTCGTGGGCATACACGGGGTGTTGTGTTGGTCTATGCATGCATCTTTATTTGCCAATTTGTCAGATACGTGGGACTAAGGGATACACAGGCAAAGCACTCTGGATTTAGAGATCTGCATCTTTCCATTACTGTGCACTGGGATATAGGCTGTGTGCCAAGGGCTAAAGAACAAAGTGGAATGTTAGTCTTAAACTAGAAGTGCAATACAGGTTCTCATTTGACCTTTAATTAGCTGCCCTAGGTTGGATCAGTTTTTCTTAGCAAAATATGCTGCTGTCTAGAGACATATTTGTTTTAGGATGCCATTAACACTACTATTTCGATTTTAGCAGCCATAAAAATTGATCTTTCAGCACAAGATGACCTTCTTCCTATCTGTATTTTGCTGTGATTCCAGAGCTGATAATAATGTGTAGTGTCTATGATTATTCCATGACTAGTTAGGAAAATGCCTGTACTTCAGTTTAATTTCAAGGGAGCTGCTTGGCAGCTTTCTGTTGAATAACTGTAGTTGCTATAGCAAGAGCTACTTCCTGCCTCTGCAAGCAAACACTGGTGATTTTCTTGCTGAACTGTTGATTGATTTGGATTCAGCAAACAAGGGAAAAAAGATTTGCAGTTCCTCACGTAGCAGGAATTATGGCCCACCTGTGCAAGACAGTTGAGCTGATCTGCCATGCAGAGGGCTACATAGCTCCTTTCTCTTTCCTTGCCCCAGCCCTGGCATTGGTCTGGTTCCAAGATATAGCTGAAACATATGCTGAATAGAAAATGTTGGGTTTTCTTCTTAAACTGGCTCACTGTGGGATCAGACAAGTGCCAGAGATGGCTTAAGGGAGGAGGACTGTATGGTGGAGGGCCGAGGGAGGTCATGTCCCTTCCTAAGGCAGTGATGCTTAACTGCACTTAAAATCGCATCCTCAGTTTGTCTCAGCTGATTGCAGAGGAGCCATGTGGAAACAACATCAACTGGGATATGGCCCAAATTAATCAGAAAATGTTTTCTAGGGTAAAACACATTGGAAGGAGGAAGCCTGGTGGGTTATTTTACTGTCGTGCGCTTATGGCAGGAACTGCTCGCTGTGTTAGGGAATTCTGCTTTAATCATATCCTCAGACACTATGGACGATGTTGGGATGTGTCCAGATGTTGTCCTGTCCTTTTTTGTCCCCTCTAAATTCTGTATTCCTGAGGGAAATGGGATCATATGAGCCTAGGACACAACTCTTGCTTTGAAGTCAGCCACCACTGTAGGCATTGATGGGAGAGATTTCACTTTTAGCATGATTATAAAGTTTTGGAAGACATATGTTCCTGGCACTAAACTGAACTAACGAAGTCCTGTTCAAATCTGTTAGGAGAAAAAACATCCTTATGCTTGTTCTCAAGATACAACCTCCAAAAGTAATTCCCTATTTCTAATTTCTATGATGAATTCTTGCCATGTGGTTACCTTCATATATTTAGGACTCCTTATCTCTGTAGTTTAACCTTTCAAAAAGGTCAGTGCAACTAAATGTGTTGTGTTGGATTTTTTTTTTAATTTTTTTTTTTTTAGAGTTAGTCCCAACATCGTGACTTTTCCACCATGTCAGAACCTATCACGCTCAATGTTGGAGGAAAACTCTATACCACCTCTCTGTCCACTCTGACTAGCTTTCCAGACTCCATGCTGGGGGCCATGTTTAGTGGGAAGATACCAACCAAGAAGGACAGCCAAGGCAACTGCTTTATTGACAGAGATGGCAAAATCTTCCGCTATATCTTGAACTTCCTACGAACTTCTCACTTGGACCTCCCCGAAGACTTTCAGGAAATGGGCTTACTTCGACGGGAGGTGGATTTTTATCAAATTCAGCCGCTGATTGAGGCCTTGCAGGAAAAGGAAGTAGAGCTTTCTAAAGCAGAGAAAAACGCCATGCTCAACATAACCCTTGATCAGAAGACCCAAACCGTTCACTTCACTGTCCGAGAAGCACCCCAGATTTACAGCCTGTCTTCCTCCAACATGGAAGTGTTTAGTGCTCATATCTTCTCTACATCATGCCTGTTCCTGAAGCTTCTGGGTTCCAAACTTTACTATTGCTTCAACGGAAACCTTTCTTCAATATCCAGCTACCTGCAGGACCCCAACCACTTGACCTTAGATTGGGTGGCAAGTGTGGAAGGCCTTCCTGAAGAGGAGTACACCAGGCAGAACTTGAAGAGACTCTGGGTGGTGCCAGATAATAAGCAAATCAATAGCTTCCAGGTGTTTGTGGAAGAAGTGCTGAAAATAGCCATGAGTGATGGTTTCTGCATAGATTCTTCTCATCCACATACTTCAGATTTCATGAATAATAAGATTATTCGCCTAATTCGGTATAAGTAGGAATGGCTGTTTATTGCGGTGCAGGAAGCATGGAGATAACACAGGTTTAGTGTTTCCCTTTAAAACACACTTACAGCCTAATTCAGAATCATGCTTATCTGGATTAAGAGTCACTAACAAGGAGATGATTTTCCTTTAATGTACTTACCAATACGACCTTTCAGAATATGTCCATATTCTAGATGGAAGCAATATTGTCTAGCGCCTGAATTAAGGACTGGTTCTGTCTCTGCTGCCCCCTCTGACCTGCTGTACAGTTGTGGGGAAAATCACCAAACTTCTCTCCTTTCTACTTTTCCCAGAAAATGGAAGTGATCCCTAGCCTATGTTGCAAGGGGATGTGAGGGTTCAGTAATCAAGGTTTGGAATGTATCTGGAGAACAGATGTGATGAAAGATGCCATGGAGCTGCAGTGCAGCAGACAGCCCTAGGACCGAATTTTCCATGTCTTGTTGTATCACCTGTGTGGAGTATCCAAGAAGCTTGATTGAATCCACAGATAAGAAGCCTCCCACGTGCACTCAATACAGCTGTAAAGGATGGTGCAAACTGCAAATAAGTAAGGGATCCCATCTCCCTGGGTTCAACAAAGGACTTCTCTCACCATCTGAAGTTACCTTGTGTTTTTTTTCTGAACCCTGTGAGGAAGCCCCTGCTTTATTCTGCTTTCGGGGAAGCCATGTTGGAATAATGTGACTGGCATGGAGAACAACCAAGGAAGCCATAGAAGAGAGAATGGTGTTCTTACAAACAAAGAAGATTAAACTTTTACATTCCAAAGGCATCCAAGACACCTAGTCCTTTTCTTTCTCTTGTAGTGTTAATATTTGTCTGGAGGATGCTGCTGAAACTTTCTGAGATGAAGATTTTGGGGCAGAGGCCCCCAAATGTCTTCTAAGCATTTGAGCCTCTTCTGGCCTTCTTTTGGGCACATCTCCCTTCAACAGTGCCTGGAGCGCATCACATGCTCTCTGGATAGGATGGATTCCATTTGAAAAGACAACATTCTCATCAGGTTACACCTAGTATTTTTCATTACAAAAACAGAGGCTCACTTTTCCTATTCTAGTACATTGAGCCTTTTTTTTTTTTAACATCCGTGTGAAATGGTCAGGTCACTAAATAGCATTTTCCTCACTTGCTTGGCTTCAGTGTCAGGTTGCCATAGGTAAGGCAGTGGGAATCCAGAGGTGACGACAATGGTCACGTACACGCCTGGTCTGTGCTGTAATGAAGATTATAATTCAGTAGCTGCATATTGTCTCTAAACATCATTTGTGCCACATTCAAAATGGTTCTTTCTCAGCTAATTATGTTTAAAAGTATCTTAACTGTATTTCCCTAGCCAGATGGCTATGAGTACATTAGAGACCCTCTGGAACATTTTCTGGTGTCTTTAATGAGATAAAAGGGAAAATGCAATAACCAAGTTTTGCATTTAGAATTTTAGCACTTCCAAAGGTTCTTAGCACAGGGCTGCAAAGCTCTGTATTACTCATGTTCTTGTTTCCCAAAGTAACTAGTCTGTCATTACATTAAGCTGACCTGTGAACAAGCATAAAGAAACTCTTTTTCTTGTAAAAAACAGTGAGATCAGTATATTTCTACTGTCCCAAGCTGTAACTGCATGAACAACACAAATCAGCATGCTGATGGGAAAAATGCACATTCTGCAGCTCTTGTCAGCCTGTTACAGACCACTACCCTTTGTCTGACCTGTTGCTAAACCAGCATGATATACGTGGGACCATGTTGCCAGAAAGTACTTACTGGGCTTGCAGCCCTCAGAACCATTAAACCTGGCAAATACTGTGAATTTTAAGGACTGCAGACAGGATTTTGTGGCCAGATTCTGGCTTGAGTCACCATATTTATCTAGCTTTAGTTGCATAAGGAAGAACTTTTTTTCCCCCTCATCCGTGTCCTGAATTATAAAGCATGTGTTTGCCACTCAGCTGGACATTCACAGAGATGACTGTGCTGTTAATATGATTATGATCTGTAAAATGAACCCTCCTTGATCAAATCTATGCCTTGAAACAGATACACCTTTGCTGAATTTATGATAACATAGCTTTTGGGGACCGTTGACAGTATTTCTTTTTAACCCACATCCTTGAGAGTAGATTTTAAATGATCTTTAACAGGAGGTCTTCTATGTCATGACTAAAGTAATACTCACCTGTAGGAATTTGTTTCCTGTCAGCTTGAGTATTATGAAAGGTAAGAGCAGTGGGCATAAATCTCATTTGGAGGTGGTGGCGGGGAAGTCTGACCTACACCCGTTAGAGCTCTGGATCAGTACTACTCCATTCTGTTTCAGCAAAATAAAAATATTGCCTGGGGGAGTTGAATCATTACTGCATTTTCTGGTGAAAGGTGAATAAGAGAAGTCTGTAAAAGGAGAGAACTGAACTCAGATCTTCACCTGGAGTGCTTTAAGCCATTAGTCTCTTATGCAAAAGATGCATGACTTGAATACACACTTATTCGTACTCATGTAACTAAATCAGGAAAAGGTAGAGCTGGCCACAAATCTGTCATTTATTAATACATAGAGAGATGCAAAATATCTCTCTTCTTTATGTAGATGCAAAATTTCCAACCAGTATAAAGACATGAGTGAAGCCAAGCTTCGGGAGGAACAGAAAAACTCAAGGTACCTCTAAATTGCTACGCTCAATAAACATCTTTATGTATGCTGTACTATTTTGAATGCCACGGCCATTCTGTGTGCTCATGGAGCACAGGAAATAGGCAGTGAGTGAATCAATGGTGATTGCAGGCAAACATATGTTCTGTGCAGTTGCTATTTCAAACTATACGCTAAGCTAAATCTATAGCTGCTCCCGAATTTTGCAGTCTGTGAGTTACGTTATAATGACTGTTTATAGGAATGTTCTCTCTCCAGAGCATTTGTTTGCATTTTATCTGGATAGCTGGTTTTTGTTTACCTTCCTTTTCTGAGCCCTAGAGGCGTAACTTGCTTTTGTTTACCAGTGAACAGCACTGATAATGTTTCTTCTCAAGAGTTTTCCTGAATTACGGAGAAGCAAATATGCACAAAGCCATTTTAAGTGCAGCACAACCCCATCACTAGTCATGAAATGCACTTAGCATTTATTAGCAGTAACATCTAAAAATTATTTCACTGTTGAGTGTAATATTCATTCTCAGAACAAATAGGTGGTGTTTTTTCCTGAAAAGGATCTAGTGACCTTTTTTCCCCTTAAAGCTTGAAGGGTGTTTTCTTCTACATCTTGGTGCATAACTCCTGGTTCTGCCATATGCCTGTCTCTGTCAACACCTTTGTGTACAAAATGAGGCCAAGTCCTGCAATTTTTTTTAAATGGTCTCACTTTTTCGGTGGTTTGGTTTGTATTTTCGTTTTTTTTAATGGCTACTGAATAGAGCATTCAGTTGTGTTAGAGCAGAAAGATACCAGAGTTAGGGCAGATGATAAACAAGTTGTTAGCTGTAGTCTAATGTCATTTTCAGGCCTGGACATGTGCATAGCAGTGGTATTTCTTATATTACAGAATTATTCTGAAACATCTTAATGGAGTCCAGAAAGAAACACTTGTGGATTTCTGTATGTGTTTTTAGGCTCGGTAGCTCTTAAATATCTTAAATATCTAACAATGTCCAGTTATAATCAAGGGACTGAAACTATACATAAAAATATTAAGACATAAATATCTAACAATGTCCAGTTATAATCAAGGGACTGAAACTATACATAAATATTAGGACATACTTAAATTAAGACTATACATAAATATTAAGACATACTCCTCACTGTTAAGAGTCAGAAGGAGTTAGTGGGAGGAGTGATTGTTGCTGCAGTTGATGGTGAGGAAACAAATAGTTGTAGAAATTTAGATCTGAAAGAATTCACACGTTAACAAGAAATCCAGGAATCCAGGATTTAGTAGGGAGAGTATAGAAAATCTCGATGTGTTCAGGAAAAAAACAAACCACAAGATAACAATAGAGACAAAAATTTTGCTGCAAGAGGCTATAATTAGAATGATTCACTGGTCCTTTCCAGTTTTAATCTCCTATTATGCACCTTAAATATGCCAAGAGTTATGCTAGTAACTTCTCAGGAGCAGGCAGCTTTGCTTCAAATTGCATGTACTTCAAATCACCAAACATTTGCACTGCTGTACTTACCATATTATAGCTGGGTTGTTGCATATTAACTGCTGCTTGAGTTCACTTGCAGTAAATACCTGCAATCAATCAGATTTATTCCCACTCTAGGAGAGGCTGGTGGAATCCATATGTAAGGTTGATGGGAGTGATAAATACTGCCTTCAGCCATAGAAGGAACATACTGAGGAAAGTAAATCTAGGATCTTCTGACACTTCACAGATAAATGGAGAAGTTATGAAGAAGATTCCTTTGGGGAGTTTTATTTTCACCCCATCCCTTTGAATTTGGTGTCACTGCTCAGAATTTCAATACATTTTGAAATATTTAAGTGCCATTCTGCATCCACACATTGATGGACACAAACATGCAGGGTACAAGCAGTGCTAATATGTGGCCCTCACAGTAAAAGTCTTGTATGTGAATTAGTACAGGCAGTCATACGGATATTCTGTTCAAGAAGGGCGAGATGAAGCATAAATATCCAGATCAGGGTCTCAGATTCACTTAGGAATAACACAAAGAATGCCCTCCATATGAATTCAGGAAAAAAAAAAGGAGCTATAGGGGAGGGCTATATCTAATAATTCCTTTTCTCCTCCTTCTCTTGGCATTTCCCTCACTATTTTCTTGCTCTAACTCCTAACTGTAGGATTTTCCCATTGATCAGAATTTGGGCCCCAGTTCACTAAAAGCCATGCTTTGGAATCAGTAGTATTTGAAAAGTGTCAGAAGTTGGTCTTTCTTTCTGTCCACTTTTATAGAGAGCCTGAGGGCTATCACATTAAAAATCCAATTGTATTTCTCTGCCTGTAACTCTTTTGTGACTGTTACTAATGTGTATTTTAGAAAACAGTAAATAAAATGTGAATGAAGTAGGAGATGCTCTGCCTGACATATTTCTTGAGAAAAAAGCATGCAGTGAAGTTTGCTGAATTGGTAGCTTTTCCTTTCTCTAATGATTTTACGTAGTGCATCATTGCAATGCTTACCTCGACCTCTCCGTGGCTGAGAATTGTAGGAAGCTCCCCAAAAATTAATGCAGTTGTAGAAAACTTGGATGAACAAGCCTTCAGAAATAATCAAAACCATTTTAAAAGCATTAGCTCATTTATGTTTCAAACGTTTATAAACAGAGAATTCGTTTTTCCAGTGAAAACCCTTTTTAAACCCTAATGCTTTTGGACTAGTCTCTAGTCCCTGAGTTTGAGCAAACCATAATATATTGCTGCTGTACAGGAAAATACAAGTTGAAGATATTATCTTTGTGATTCCATGCAGCTCCTACAAGGTCCTATTCCTAAATTCATGAAGGTTTGCTGTAAGGAAGCGAGAAGGCATCAGCCTTGTATGCATCTACCCTGCAGGCTGGAAGGAAGGTATTAAAAATTGAGCTTTTTCCTCTGAAAGAATGCTTTGTACCTGGAAGCTGACTCGGACATCAACGACACTGGTTTGAGATGGCACCTCCCTGGAGCAGAGGTAAGCTGGTGTAATTGGAAGCAGCTTCAGCCTAGTGAAGTTTGGGTGGCCTCACATCACCCAGGCCCAACAGTGCCCAACTCCATAAGTAGTCCCACAGCCAATCAACCCCACAACATTCAGAGTCAACTACCCAGCCCCACTGCAGGTCCCGCACCCACCCGGTCCCACATCACCCTTGTTAGAGGAAAGCCACTGCCTGAGCATTCTCACACCGCTCAAGGAGTTGCACACACACCACCTGAGAATTTTAACAGCAAGGACCAGAGTTCCTTCACAGTGGGTGGCTCCAGTGAGCCCCAGCTGGTGCCCCTTTCGACTCCTCACCCACACACACACTCACTGTCAGACGAGCTTTCTCCTTCTTCAGGCTCAACCCTGGGTTTCCTGTAGCAGTCTCAGTGCTGGACTTATAAATGTTAATGGAGTACAGCAGCAGATCAGCTCAAGCTGCGTGCCTCCACAAAGAGACCCCAAACAAATCCTGAGCTTTTTATCTCAGAGAATAAGGGTTTATTTTACATGCTCATTATTCACGTGCTTCTTGGTCCAACAGTGATTTTTGGTCTGGGGCCTTCTAACACCTTATTGGATTATTTTTCTGTGTTCATATAGGCAGGACATTAACTGCTTTTGCCAAGTTGGAGCTTCTGCTGATGGCTGCAGCCTCCCTGTCTTCTGGTTTGTACTTCTTGTGCACCTGCTTGCTGGCAGAGCACAGGAATCCGAAAAATCCTTGATTTTGAGTAAGCACTACTTAGCAGCAATTAAAAATCACTGTGTTATCAATGGTATTTCCATAATAAATTCAAAACACAGCACTGTACCAATTACTAAGAAGAAAATTAACTTTGTTCCAGCCAAAAGCATATCCAGGTGAAAGTTCAGCCTAAGACTTCAGCAAATCCAGCTGCTCATGCTAAGTAAAGCCAGGCGAGCAGCATGCTAAATCACACACTATTAGAGCTCTTAAGTGACTTGTTCTTATTTAAAACTCGTTAAGCTAAACAAGTAAGACCTCTCAACAACCACTCAACCCCACATCACAAAATGAATCATGGAGCGTTGAGGATTGGAAGGGACCTTAAAGATCATCCAGTTCCAGCCCCCGTGCCATGGGCAGGGACACCTTCCATTAGACTAGGTTACTCAGAGTCCCATCCAACGTGGCCTTGAGTACTGCCAGGGATGGGGCATCTACAGCTTCTCAGGGCAACTTGTGCCAATGCCTCACCACCTCACCACACTCACGCAGATAAACCACTCCCCGCTATCCAACCCGAATTTCCCCTGTTTCAGTTCGTGCCCATGACAGCGATACGCGGAGCGCTCCCCGCGCATGCGTAGTGGCGCTCCCGACGCCGCTGCGGGCGGATGGGCGGGGCGGGCGCG